TGAGTCAACTTGGAAGAGCAACATCCTTCTCTAAATTTTACCCCTGCATGGCTCACAAAAGGGTGAGTCAAGTTGAAATGGCAACATCCTTCTCTAAATTTTACCCTCGGGTCGCTCACCAAACGGTGAGTCAACTTGGAATGACCACTTCCTTCTCTAAATTTGGACCCTGCCCACAAAAGGGTGAGTCAAGTTGAAATGGCAACATCCTTCTCTAAGTTTTACCCTCGGGTGAGTCAAATTGGAATGACCACTTCCTTCTCTAAATTTTACCCCTGCCTTGCCCACAAAAGGGTGAGTCAAGTTGAAATGGCAACATCCTTCTCTAAATTTTACCCTCGGGTGGCCAACATCCTTCTCTAAATTTTACCCCTGCCCACAAAAGGATGAGTCGAGTTGAAATGGCAACATCCTTCTCTAAATTTTACCCCTGCATGGCCCACAAAAGGGTGCGCACACAGATTTGACTCATCTGCGCACACACATTTTGTTAGCACTTGCGCCTCATCTGCGCACACAGATTTGACTCATGCGCGCACACAGTCCATCGGGGAGACTCAAGTGCGCACACAGGCCCTTTCCCGCATGTTTGCTCACTTAAAAGGGTCGTCAAGATGGAATGGCCACTTCCTCCTCTAAATTTTACCCCTCCAGTGGCTCACCAAAGGGTGAGTCAACTTGGAATGACCACTTCCTTCTCTAAATTTTACCCCTGCCCACAAAAGGGTGAGTCAAGTTGAAATGGCAACATCCTTCTCTAAATTTTACCCTCGGGTGGCTCACCAAAGGGTGAGTCAACTTGGAAGGGCAACATCCTTCTCTAAATTTTACCCCTGCATGGGTCCACAAAAGGGTGAGTCAAGTTGGCATGGCCACTTCCCTCTCTAAACTTTACCCCTGCATGGCCTACAAAAGGGTGAGTCAAGTTGGAGTGACCACTTCCTTCTCTAAATTTTACCCTGTCCACAAAAGTGCGAGTCAAGTTGAAATGGCAACATCCTTCTCTAAATTGTACCCTCGGGTGGCTCACCAAAGGGTGAGTCAACTTGGAAGAGCAACATCCTTCTCTTAATTTTACCCCTGCCAACAAAAGGGTGACCAAGTTGAAATGGGAACATCCTTCTCTTAATTTTACCCCTGCATGGCCCACAAAAGGGTGAGTCAAGTTGAATTGGCAACATCCTTCTCTAAATTTTACCCTCGGGTGGCTCACCAAAGGGTGAGTCAACTTGGAATGACCACTTCCTTCTCTAAATTTTACCCCTGCCTTGCCCACAAAAGGGTGAGTCAAGTTGAAATGGCAACATCCTTCTCTAAATTTTACCCTCGGGTGGCTCACCAAAGGGTGAGTCAACTTGGAAGAGCAACATCCTTCTCTAAATTTTACCCCTGCATGGCTCACAAAAGGGTGAGTCAAGTTGAAATGGCAACATCCTTCTCTAAATTTTACCCTCGGGTGGCTCACCAAAGGGTTCTCAAAATTCTACCCTGCCCACAAAAGGGTGAGTCAAGTTGAAATGGCAACATCCTTCTCTAAATTTTACCCTCGGGTGGCTCACCAAGGGGTGAGTCAACTTGGAATGACCACTTCCTTCTCTAAATTTGACCCCTGCCTTGCCCACAAAAGGGTGAGTCAAGTTGAAATGGCAACATCCTTCTCTAAATTTTACCCTCGGGTGGCTCACCAAAGGGTGAGTCAACTTGGAAGACCCTCTCACGATGTAAGTGCGCGAGCAACGACGAGCATACCTTTTTTTTTATGCCACGCAGTGCAATATTGGGCAGAAAAAGTCTGGAGCCAAATGATTACTAGAACTCCCCGACGATTACATTCGGTAACACCCCGACGCTTACATTCGATACTAAAGGCCCCCGACAATTAAATTCTGTACTAAAACTCCCCGACGATTACATTCGGTACTAAAGCCCCCCGACAATTACGTTTTGTACTAAAACCTCCCGACAATTACTTTCTGTACTAAAACCTCCCGACAATTACTTTCTGTACTCAAACCTCCCGACAATTACTTGCTGTACTAAAACCTCTCGAAAATTACTTTCTGTACTAAAACCTCCCGACAATTACATTCTGTACTAAAGCCTTCCGACAATTACATTCTGCACTAAACCCTCCTGACAATTACATTCTGCACTAGGACCCCCCAACGTGACCTCTTCCCACAGTGCCGCATAAAAGAAAGAACCCTTAGCATAAAAAAAGAAACCATTAGCATAAAAAAAGAAACCAGGAGCATAAAAGAAAGAACTGCAAGCATAACAGAAAAAACCATTAGCATAAAAAAAGCACTATAAGCATAAAAAAAGAAACCCATACCCCAAAAGCACACCAACCCCGCTGTGAGCATAAGAAAAAAAACCATTAGCATTAAAAAAAAAAACACCCAGCCCATTTAATTTTGGCCTGTACAAACGGAAGGGAAAAACAAACGAAAACACAACACCGTCCGGGACCTAAACCGAACAACATTTTTCGTTGGTGAACTCTGAGGAACCACCGGGAAGCAGCCGTGGTCGCACCGTGTTTCGTGTAAGGAGCCTCATTTGTTGTGGCTCTGGAAGGCCCAGTCGAGTACTACAGTAAATTACAGTACATGTATTTACATGTAGATTCCAATGCTTTTCTTTGGTCTCTCTGGGTTTGGATGGCGCCCCTTTGTTCGAGGTAAATAGTTCGAAAGAGCATCTGTTCTCGGCACGGGCTGCAGCATCTGCCCCTTCTCAGGGAGGCACCCACAAATCAGCGCCAAAGCATTGGAGCCCCGTAGCCACGCAGCAAAGCCCAAGAGCACTGCGTACCTGGCAGTCAGTCAGGGTGCAAATGGCTGGAGTACTCATGAACCAGCGGGGGCTGGTAAAGAAACGGCATGATCTGCATTCTCCAAAGGGTCTGGCGATCACAAAATAGCAGAATCGACATGCTGGTCAACGTCACTGCTGGTGTTCAACGTCCATGGCCCAACCACGGTTGGATTTGTTGGATGTACAGTACATGTGCCTTGCTCGGTGCCTGGCCTGCATGGGCCTTTTTGGTAGCCGCATGGATGGACCAAATGTTGAGCACCCAAAAATGCCACCGAGCACGTGAGTCAAGTGGGAAGCCCAGTCACCCCAAACCCGACAGTTTAAGCTGTCACCTTTGAGAAGGATGACTTGGGTTTGTGGGACCAAGCAAATAGCGCAAAATATGTGTTTTAAAAAACTGGTGTAGAATCTAGAGTCCCCCTTCGTCACCCACCTAGGATCTAGGAGAGCAACCAAGGCTGCTTTGGACCTTATACAGGGTCCGCCATCCTTTTTGAATCCGCTTGCAAACACTTGAGTTTCTGACTCGCCACGATCACAGCATCTTCAATGCTTAGGACTTCCTGAATTTCGAAGTGGACCTCCGCTGTTTGTCCAGCTGGTTTGGTCTGGAATTGTTGGAGCAGCTCATGTCCCAACTGTTCTCGCAAAAGCTCCAGAACCGTGGAGTTGGCGTCCGCCACCAAGCAGTGAAGCCCCTTCCGCCGCCACTCCAACAAAATGCCGCGGAGTATCTCCAAAGCAGAATAGTCAATGGTCGCCACTGCCCCCATGCAAAGAATTACAAAATTCACTTTGCCTTGGCCGGGGCCAGCTGCGGTACAACAACGACCATTGGGCTTTAGAGAACCTGACACGACAGGGCTACAAACCAGAAAAGCAAAGGGCTTCGTAGGTGAGGACTGAACAAGAAGGGCCCCGTCAATCCGGCAAAATAGCATCATTTCATCCACAATCACCCAGAATCATCCACAATCCTCTAGCCAAGGAACTCTTGGCTTGCAAACGTCTCCTCTCGACCTCCTCTTCAAACCACTCCGCGCTGGCAAACACCAAGGGGCCGCGAAACTCAAAGACCAAAATGCCTGGTAGAGTCTCAGCTTCTGCCCATCGGTCCACATCCTGAATGTGCTAAAAAGATAAAAGCGTGAAAATTGCAGATGCGCTAGCAAATCTGCTCAAAATATGTCAGGGAAGCAGGCCAACAAAAGCAGAATGATGGTGACGAAAAAGAAGCCAAAAGTCAACCTACAGTATCACTATCCAATACTGTCCATGTAAGGAATTCAAGGAGCGTAGCACATCCTAGCTGCTAGTTCTCTCCCTGCAAACACTGAACATGCAAACTCGCAATCTTATGTACATTACATATGTGAATTAAACCCGTAAAAAGGGATAATTACCTGAAACAACCGGAAAAAAAAACATAAAAAGTAAAGCTGTTTAAGCCCATCCAAGTCTTCATGCCACTGCTTCAACCGTGGCACCTCCCCCAGGGTCACTGCCTGCGGCGTGGCAGCCTCCGCCACCACCTGTGCCAGCGCCACCAAGACCGAGAGCATGATGCCATAAAGGGCACCCGCCAGGATGGTGCAAAGAAAGCCCACAAACCTGCCAGGAAGGTTTCCTTGAGGCGTCTGAAGACCGGACATTTGAAGCAGAAAGACTTCCTTGTTCTGTATAATGATTTCAGTTATATAAATGGAGCACAAACCTGTCACAGGGCGGCTTGCCGCGCCACGGTTTTCGAAATTACCCACAGGACGGCGAAAATATGGTTTTGGACGGCATATGCGTCTCTTTTCCGGGAATATATTTGTTGGTCGTGTAATTATACAACGCATCTTATCATATTATTAATTGTCGTGTGAACGGTTATGTGTCCGTCTCCCAAGTGATGTTTGCGGATTTCCCCAATTTTCATATGTGCGTCCGAATCCTTGTTCTTATTGCTCACCCAGCAACCATACAATCAGATCTTTCCGAAAGCTACTTCGAAAGGTCTTTGGGGTGCTTCCCCACAACTGCAACGGCATCTTGAAGTCCATCAGGCCCTCAGCCGAGACCATGACGATGGCAGCCAAAGATGCCTTCGGCAGGTCTTCCAATGCGGGAGCCAAACAAATCAAACCAGCTGCCACAGTAAGCGCAGTAAAAATGCTGCATATCTGCGAGTGCACCCCAAGTTGTACTGCCAGCCCTGTTCCTTTTGAGCATGACAGTGCACTTAGATTGATAAATTTTGCCTAACCAAAAGCCAACACCGCCGTTTAAACAAACATATATCTTAAAGAAACTCAGGAACGTCCAACCACCATCCGACAACTAGGTATATCACTCTCGGAACAGAGGGAACTATACCTAGATTGTCCAACTGTGCAAAGTCTTTCCGTCTTTGGGCTGGTTTTATAGGTGAAAAGGCAGAAACAGAAATGTTGCACAGTCGGAAGATCTAGGATGATCTATGCAGGGTGTAAAGCCGTTCTCTCGCTGAGGATCGGCTCAAAGAACCACTCGGCGGGAAGGCTCCAAAGAAGGAGCCCAAAATGCCAGCAGCTCCCAAGGCATAGAGCTCTTGGCGTGCATCCAGGTTGTAGTCACAGGCCAATGCCTGCTTCTTAAAACTGGAGTAGGACCTTCAAGTGATTCAAATCCGCGACATGACATGAAAGTCAGGTGTACAGCTAGGAAAAATACCTGTCACTGTCTATATATATATGTATATATTACTAAATTATATATGCATATATCATTCTGTCATATTCTGTATATATCATTTACTTAAGACGATGGGGTCTCGCAGGGAAAAGAAGGGCGTGACAATCGGTGCAAGCAAAGGTGCAGCTGGGTAACGTCAAAAAGGTTGAGAAGGCTACAATGGCTCCACTTAGCACGAAGCCGTGCAACACATCTGCGGGTCCATTCAGCAGCTTCTCCGTCGCATTCAATTGCCAGGGCAACCGCAAAGGCGGCAGGCCCTCAGGAATATAGCCCACTGAAGGAACCAAAGTGGACCCATCCTCCTGCTTGGTCAAGCGGACGAAAAGGATCCCGAAAACAACCACCAGGATTTCCTTGATTTGGGCTACCCGGCCAGCCATCCTCCAGATCAAGGACTGTTTTTGTTCCCTCTTGGCGGTAGCCTTAAGTCGTTTGCAGCTGACGATGATGAGAATCAAGCAGGAGCATAGCCCAACATTGACCCAATTTGCCTGATGTATCTGCTGAATGCAAGCCAAAACTTTTTGAAAAGGTCCTCCTGCGTGTGGAAACTGTGTATAGCCGAAGAAACCTTTCAGCTGTGATACTATGATTAGGACTGCCCCGCCAGTGACAAAACCACTGAGAGTCGGCTGCGATAGGAAGCGAACAGCAGAGGCCAGATCAAACACGCCCATGAGAACCTGGAAGAAGCCTGATTCAAACTGGCCGGTGCCAAAAAAAAGCGCTCTGCCATGCAAACACAGGAAGGAAAACACAGGACCCCTTCGTTGGAACCGCGCCCCCCCCCCCCTCGGTTTTTCCACATCGAAACGCATCCAGCCTGACAGGAGGGCCAACAACGAAGCAAGCTCCGTACGGTCTTGTTGATCCGGAAAGGGCCTCAAAATTGCTGACAACTCACACCGTGAGTCTCTGGGTCATTGCCTTATGCGGTACATGAGAACAATGGCCAATGGCTTAAATCACAAATCCTTTAGAACGTTACTTTTTCCAGTTTCCCTACAAAGCCTAGCTTTCAAACCTCACCTGTTTCATCATGTGTCATCCTCTTGTCGCTTCGGCCAGGATTGACTGTGTTGTCAACCCTGGTTTCGTGTCGGGCCGCGAGTCGCACATGTATATATTCCTGGCCGCCCAAGGAACTGTAGGACATTCGCCAAGATCATGGCAGCCATAGCGCCCGAGGACACTGAGCCATGCTTGGAGGTGCCAAGGACGGCGTAAATGAATGGGGGAACCAGGGCGCAGTAAGGTCCTAGGCAAATTTAACGCGGTCTGCGCACATAAATCGTTTGGCTAGAGAGAGCCCCGCTGTGTTTCTAAACAAAGAGAAGTAGCCATGAGGCACTGTTCTCAGTAGAGGAACACACACAACATATCGTCTAAGCTTATCTTCAAATTGCTTTCTGAACGAAAGTCTACACCATGAAGATTCATGAAGTCCTTGAATCGGATCAGTCGTTGCAATTGTCGCATGCGCCAGCGTCTGCGCCAAACACATGGTCCCAAGAGAAACGCCCGCCGTAAGGTCCACCATCAGGTACTTGCCCTCATAGGTGGAAAGCCATGAAAGTATCGGCACTCGCGCTGCGACTCGCCCTTTCAAGGCATGCCATGTCGTGTGCAGCGGTTGGGCCTCCAACTGTTGATATGCTGCTTCAGCCATCTAGCTGCTTGAGCACATGGCTAGTGCATGATATGTATCCATGAACCCTTCATAATAGGGGAAATTGAAATAGGCAATTTTTATCAAATTTTATCAAATTTGTGACAGCGTTCGTTGAGTGTTGCAATTGATTTCCATGTTCATGTGCGCCAACCCAAATTTGACTGGTAGGTGGATGCAAAAGAGTCTCTCAAAAACATTCAAAACCGTCATCTCGAACCCATCTTGCATTTCCTCCGTTGCTTGAGGGCACATGCAGGTGCTGGATGGTAAAACTGCAACTGAGGAATGGAACATGCCACCTTAGCTGCAAGGGTGGCATGTTGAAAAAAAGAACACATGCAAAACTTTTAACCTTGAGGAATCTCAAGAAAATCTCTGATCTGAAGAGGTCATCAACGACTCGTACAATAGTAGATTGTCTATGACTCCCTCCTCCATGTCGATCCTTCCTTCTTCACATCACTGACACGTGGATTTCCTGCCACTCGAATCGTAGAAAAATATCTATGCCTCACCACTAATACTTACTAGTAGTAACAAGAAGCTACTAGGAACAAGTGCCACGCTAGT